AATTTTTTGAAACCCACCACACACACACACACACACACACACACACACAGGAAGAAATAAATAAATAAATAAAAAAGAAAGAAAAAGTGAGAGAGATTAAAGAAAAAAGGGACAGAGACACAAAAGGAAGGAAAGAGAGAGAGAGAGAGAGAGAGAGAGAAAGAGAAAACACATGGCTGGCAAGCCACTCCCACAAAGGAGACCACACCCACAGAGTAGGTTCGAAAAAAATTTGAAACCCACCACTGATCCACAAGTACATAATCTACCTCAATGTATGTCATTTGGATAATTACATGACTTGTATAAATGGCATGATTTGCTGTAAAACCTCAATTTAAATCTTGATCCATCAAATAGAGGTGAAGTCTTTATTATTCAAAGAAATTGCCTACTCAAAGTCTGTTAAATTGAGGATTTACTGTAGTATTACATTCTGTACTACTTTGTTTAAAGAGAAACACAGTTGTATGTAAACAACCACTGTTCATAAACTATGCACAACCAATAACCACTGAGAAAGATATTTTAAACTCAAAACTCTGTAATTGCTCTGGCCAAATCAGAGTAAAATCTTACCTTCTTCCAAGCTACCAGGAACAGGGAAGGCAATATGGGAGGCATTGCTCTTATCTTCAGTTATGGTTCCCTAAAAGAAAGAAAAAAGTCATGGAAACATAAAAGATTTAAACCATATAGGGGACACCTGCTGCTGAAAATGATTTGGAAGAATAGTTCATACAACCAAAATGTGACAACCCTGCTTTCCAGCATGTTAGCAAAGCCATTAAATAAAACAGGTAATAATCTTAGAAAAGATTGAAATCTTTACCCTTTGTCATTTACCAGTATGACAGAATTCATCCCTTCAGGAACCCTTTTATGCATTACCTAGCTCATGGAACACTGCCCAGCTCTGATTTAGCCTATGAGTCATGTATAGCATTAACACTATTGTATTGTTAACAGCTAATCAAGCACAATTCCATGGGGTGGAACAGCCCTTACTGTTAAATACCTTTCCCAATCTTGAATGTTCAGTGTTTGTGTCACTGACTCCTCTGAGGAACCATGCTGATGCAATAAGAGTACACAGTGCATGCATGCTCCAGTACCTTTCTGAGGTTGTTCAGCTAATTAAACTGCAAAATTATATACAAACTTATGTATCAAAATGCCAGGTAAGAACTAACAGACTGCAAGTTTATAAAAGTATCTGACATATGGCAACACCTCATTTCTAAGGTGTCATCCTATTTTGCTGCTAATTATATACTGTTTTGCAATACAATAATGTTGAATAATTGCAACTATAAGATGAATTGTTGCTTCAGTCGCAGAAGGAAAAAAATAATGAAGGGCTCTCTTCAGAGATTCAGCAGCAAAACAGTTGTACCTCACTCTTTGAGTCAGCATTATTTCTTATTTTGAAGTACAATTGGAAACATCATGTTCTTCCATGTTTGTAAACAACAGGAAATGGCTGGTATTTGGGGACTTGAAACCCCATTGTATATGCAAGATGCTGAGTTGGGCAAAGGTTGCAATGTATAACAAGAGGAATGGAAGGGTTAGGGTTAGGGTCTGCCATCCCCTCATTAATCTGTTCTGATATCTTGCTCACCTGATGTCGTTTGACAATGTCTTTCAACTTGGCTTGCAATTTGGGATCAATATCTGGATGCAGATAAATGTTAGGACGGGACAGACAATTGTTCTGAGAAAGGAAAAAGAGACAAAATTAGTGTTTTGTGCTAAGATAAAAAAAAGTTTACTGAGTTTAAAAAAAAAAAAGAGGCCACTTTACCTGTACCAGAGATTTTTCAATAGTCATGAACATCTCCACATTTCGGTCCATCCGTGAGGGATTCTGGAAATCAAAACGTCGCCTTTTGGGGGAGAAAAACAGCTTTCAATAAAAAGCACAATTCATATTTTGTAAATAAACCTATTTTATAAGTAGGCAGGATAGAAGCATTTCGCAGAGTCTGATGTCTGAAGCCACAGAGCAAATTTGCTATTACAGACCTTGATTCATCCTGGATAACAGACTGACTTCTGCATGAAGACTGTTCTTTCTATTTCCTCAAGCAATTGAAAGTGTGCATCAGGCAATTCCAATATCATACAATACCATAATTTTCAGAGTATGACACACTTTTTCTACCTCTAAAAGTAGGTGCGTCTTATACACTGAATGTGGTGCCTCTTATACACTGAATGTGGCCGAAGCCCCACCCACCCGCCGGTCCCCATCCTTCAGCTGTTTTTGGCCTCCGCACGTTGCGTTTTCTGCCTCCGCACACACTGGTTTAGACCTGTGGGATCGCCACAGCACATCACCGCCAATTGCCACCTCCGAGCGTTGCATTTTTGGTCTCCGCGTGTCGCATTTTTGGCTGGTTTCAGGTGGTGGGAATCGGTGGTGGTGCTGCCTGAAATCAGCCATAAATGGGGTGTGTGGAGGCCGAAAACGCGACATGCGGAGGCTGTGTTCGGTGGCGATGTGCTGTGGCGATCCCAGCAGCCTTGAATGGGTCTAAAATGGAGTGTGCGGAGGCCAAATACGTGATGCATGGAAGCCAAAAACGTGATGCACAGAGGCAGTGATGTGCTGTGGCAATCCCTGCACCCTGGAACAGCTGATTGGCGGTATTCCGGGAGGCCGATCCAATGGTCAATCAGCTGCTTGTGCTGACTCAGGTTGCGATAACGTGCTGAAACTGACCTGGCTGTTTGCTGTAAGGACACTAGCCAGATGAATACCATGGATGCTGTTAGGCAGAGGCAGGATTTTTTTTCTTGTTTTCCTCCCCAAAAACTAATGTGTGTCTTATACTCCAAAAAATACGGTACTCTCCTAAACAAAGCAGTCATAGAATCTCCCTACCCATTACTACCTATGGCACAAGAATAACCCTGTTCAAACAAGATACATTTGCCAGAGTAGAGATAGCACTGTACTGGAGAGTTCGAAGTTCAAGTCCAAAATTTCAATGGATGATTTTGAACAAATCACTTTTTCTCAGCCCAATCTATCTCTCACATTAGTTTAAATTTTTTAGTGTATTTATTTCACTAGGCTTAATCATTGAAAGGTTTCCTATTCTTGATATAAAAAATAAGATTCCTTCTATCCATGATATGGTGTTGCTCAAATATATAGACCTGGCATCTATTACTGGCTGGATTTTAGGCTTTATAGGAGCTATGATGCTAAAGCTGGGGAAGAAGGAAAGTTGCTAGAATTTTTGAGACTCTTGTGATGACAGGAAGCACTGTGTCACAAGCTAAGTTGCTGTTGCTTAAGTATTGACTGCTTAATTGTGGCTCTCAATTACCTCCTGAACCTCCTGTTGGGGTTGGGATTGAAGGAGTTCTCAAAGGTTTTGGTTTTAGAAGACTAAAACCTCCATGCCCTAAAGGTGATTTCAGTGTAACCCATGAATTCATAGCTTCCACAGGATTGTCACAGGGAATTGTCTCTCTAACGTACAGGGGGAAGCAAACACCTGATTTGGTCTTTACTTTGGAACAGGAAATGAAGTTATGGGATCACTTCAGAAATAGTATCTGAAAATCTGGTGTACAACTTTTATTTGCTAGACGGGGAGCATGTACCACTCTTGGTCCTATTAGACCTCCTGTTCACCTTCAATGGCCCTGATACTTTGCTGGATCATCTGCAAGGGTGGAGAGTTGGGGACACTTTGTGCTGGTTCCAATCCCACTTCAGTGGGAGTTCAGTTCTAATCGGTGGTCATGATTGGGGGAATCAGAACTCCTACCCCTGGGGACTACAGCATGGAGTACCGCAAAACTTAGTGCTTCCATCCATGTTATTTAATATCTACATGAAACTACTGGTGGAGGTCATTTGGCAGCTCAGGGTGAGTGTCATCAATATGCAAATAATATATAGTTATGCATACAGGTATATTTGGGCCAAGCCAAAGATGGCTCAGAAGAACTAAATCAGTGCCCAGAGGATCTAAATGGGGCAAAAGAAGCCCAGATTAATCCAGCCAATTTTGTCGACAGATATCTGAACAATTTAATAATACTGACTACTCTAGTCACTCTTGAGGGAGTCAAACTTCCCTTGCAGTGGTCAATTTATGACTTGGATATTCTCCTGCAGCCTGCTTTAACTTAGTGACTCCAGTTAATGCACCAATTGCAACCTCACTTGGACCAAGATGCTGTTGTAATATTCCCTGGTCATCACTCAATTGGACTACTATAACATGCTCTATGTGGGGCTGCTCCCAAAGGTGACCTTGAAGCTACCGATTGTACAAAATTAAGCAGCTAGACTCCTGACAGAATAACCTTGCCAGGACAGTGTAACTTTTATCCTGAAGTCACTGCACTGATTGACAATTGGTTTCCAATTCCACTTCAAAATGGTGGTCATTACTTTTATACCCCTTTCAGTGAAGCACACTGACATACATCAGGCACCACTTTGTAAAAAAATGAATTTGCCTGTCTGATCTAGTCATTAAGACAGGGTCTTAAGAAATTCATAGGTTCCCTTCCTCAAGAAATTCATGAGGTATAAACCACACATAGAGTAAAGATGGCCTTGGAAGAGAGAAGGAAGACCCACTATTATGGTAAAACATTGCCATAACAAGGAGGGAAAATTATGAAGGCATCTCAGAGACCTACCCCAGGGCCCCAAATTTACATGAAGACAAAAGAAGGATGGGAAGCTCATTCAGATTTGCAAAATTCTGCTACATACTGTATATAATCAATCTTAAGACAAATAGTTTTAAGCCTATATGGTGTCTAATTTCTTGGTCTGTAGGGCTGTGGTACAGAACCTTTCTCTGTGGCAGTTTTTGCTTTGTGGAATACCCTTCTCCCACTGGTATGGATAGCCCCATCCTTGCTAACATTATGTAAACAGACCAAGGCAATATTACTTCAGTGTGTGTGTGTTCAACTTAAGTTTATTTGTTGAATTCTATGGGTGTCATTTATTGATGACTTTTAAAAAAATATTATTTTAATTTTGCACGCTGGGCTTTTACCCAGTTTCCCCAAAAATAAGACCTCCCCGGATAATAAGCCTAATCGGGCTTTTGAGCGCATGCGCTAAAATAAGCTCTCCCCAAAAATATTGCAACACAACAGCAGCCATGGATGACCACACTCGCCGCCTCCTGCACCTCAAAAATAATAAGACCTCCCCCAAAATAAGGCCAGGCACTTATTTCAGGGATCAACAGAAAATAAGACCCTGTCTTATTTTTGGGGAAACACGGGTATTAACTTTGACATGCCCTACCAAGGGAAGGGAATGGGTTAGACATACTATAAAGTAAATAACAGAAGACATCTAAGAGTGGTCATTAGGTAGACAAAATACATGGTTTCAATTACAACCCAAAATGCCAATTACCTCAACTTGTAAAACAATAATGCGAGCGACACTCTTAACACAGGTACAATGAATCTCTTCTAAAATGTTAAAATTTCCCATGTATATCATTAATTTTTACTTGAAATTATACTGTCTTCTATAAAAGCACAGATTGCTATTATTTCATAACACATAATGAGATTAATAAATAGAAGGCTTACCATCCTTGGTCACTCTTGAATTTATAAGCTGCTGCAAGAATGTGACATAGGGCACCGCCAGCTTTGAAATCTAAGAAACATTTAATCTATAATAGGCAGAGGAAGCAAAACAAGGAGTGAATTCAACGTCATCAGTTCCAAAAAGTTCCCTTTCTTTCTCCTTTCCCTTTCTCTCTTCAACATTTTCATTCTTTTTCCTCCCTTCTGTCCCTTTCTATTGCCTTTTGCTCTTCAAACAAATGAAGCATTTATTTTCCAAAGCTTAATTAACACAACTGAAAGGAAAATGTTCAGGGACCACATTAACCAAGGAGTCTAGAATTAATTTTATTTTCTTAATTGCTGGGCTCTGATTCTTCTCTGATTCTGCCTAAAAAAATTAAGCAATTGTACTTCGCACAAACTTGCACTTTGCAAGTTGAATTTGCACAATGTTTTTCTTTCTTTCTTTTTGCTAATCACTATGTGCTAGGAAAAAAAGAAGAGAAGGTTCAGCTCAGATTCAAAAGTGACATCTGGTCTGTGCTGTAAATGTTGCTTCTTGAAAAGTTAGTTTCCTATAGTATTTTCACAACAATCTAAAAATTAAACTGCAAAGATGTAAAACAAACTCTAAGTGCAGCAAAAATATTTTTTTAGCATCAAAAATCTGTCAACCTTGATCAAAATATAAAACAGTTGTGTTCTATTCTGTGTCTGAACACAGTAATAGATAGTATATTTTTCTCTAAAAATAGTATCATAACTGCATTAACATGTATTATGCCTGCCTTAGGAGCTATGCACTATGCTATTCCACAAAGAACTAGAATTAAAATACACGGTTAGTGTCTGCAATCCCCTTGATGCTACGTAGAAAATCTCAGAGCTGTTCCATAAATTATACAGAATGTAACCCTCGAATTTTTCAGATTCTATTTCAAATTCTATTTTCAAACTCTGTTTTTTTTTTAATTTTGTCTGGTGACGTTTCCTTATATAAAACACCTCTATAGCATCAGTTTAAAAGGTTTGTTATACCACCACCAACCCCCATACTTATTTCCTATTTACAGGAAGTTTTTTATATAAAGCTCTTACATTTTGAAGATTCTAATGGATCACTGAAGTCTTATATTATTAGTCTAGCCAAGAGACCACTCCTCTGCTAAGTATTATCTTCCAAATTACTGAATATTGTTTTCTTAAAAATTAAAACAACTTTGGCACTTACTGGCAATTTTGTGAGTGGTGCATTGCTGACATGCTTCCCAAATACCTCCTCTTGGAACTGCAACAGCTGTACCACTAGGTTGGATAATGATTTATTGGTAGGGGGTTCTGCTTGAATGTACTGTGGAGGGGAAACAAAAGAATTGAGACTTTAGGTAAATCCAACCCAACCCTTCCTAGTAGCTTCTCTTTTAAGTCACAACCAAGCAGTAGCAAAAAAAAGCATCCACCACCTTCAATTTTGGCTTGAAATTACTTACAGTGAGTTATCTCTTTATCTAAAATAAGATTAGAACTTTTTTTCTTTATCTTAAAAGAGAAAGGAAATAGAGAAAAGGGAACTTGGGATAATATAGAAAAACATTAAAACTAGATCCCATTTCACCTGCTAGGATTAAAAATTGGGAAGAAACAGTACTCCTTGAGAGATCTAGTTCTACATACAAAGCACCAGAATTTTCCTTTTTAGAATTTGCAGTCATAGTACACTTAGTATACTTTCTAAGAAATCTTAGTGAGGCCATACAATGTTTAAAGCTCTCAATAGAACTCTGGATATTGGTTATCAACATAAGTATCTTTAACAAAAAAAAATGAAAACCCCCACTACCTTATTGATTACATTTTTTATTTAATTTAAACTGGCCATATTTTTACAATACGAATAGTATATACCACAGTTTACTAGAAACTAATTTTACATCAGATTATGTGGGATACAGCATTACTTTTTTTAAAAGGGCATTATTTTGGGCTCTGGTGAGGCTACTGCCATTGATGTAATGGCCACTGATGCAATGGCATTGCTACTGACATTGATGTTCATATTATTCAATGCTCATTTCATCTTTCAATAGATGAATGAGGATTTCTTTCATATATCAAGTTTTAGATATCTCTTCCTAACATGAAGAAACAGAACCCAGGGTCATATAAAAGTATATACATATTCTTCTTTTGCAATCCTTCATATAGAGTCAATTACAAATTAATTGTATAATTATATCCTTCAAGGACTGGGGGACTCTGATGCAAAATCTCGGAGTCACAGGAAAGGAAGTTTTTCTCTTCTAATTTGTTAGTGGGAACAGCTTCTCCATTAGAATACCAATGGATTAGGACTGATTAGCAGAGTGTGGAGACACTGCAAATGCTGGCAAATGTTTGCTACAAAGAGGTAAATTGCTGGGAGCAGAGGCCAAAGGGTGGGGGCTGGTGGGTGTACATTCGGTGTATAAGATGCACCCAAATTTTCATCCTCTTTTAGGGGGGAAAGGTGGGTCTTATACTCTGAAAAATACAGTATATTACTCCTGCTTAAAATTCTACTTCTTAGTGGCCTTGTCTATTATCCTACTGGTTTTTAAGGAAGTATGTCAGTTAGGGAAAATGGGATGCATTTTCTTCCAAGAAAAGGGATATAATTTTAATGGGAATTAAAAATGGGAAAGATGGGAAAGAAAGCAGATACTGAATATAACTACAACCAAAAACTAATTCCGTATATATTTACGTAGAATTTCATCCACGTTCAAATACGTTTATTCTGTTCAAGTATACACTGGACTATACATATTAAAAAGAAGTGTATTTTAAGGAAACATCGGTTTTTAAAATAACATTGCTTATAGCAATTATATAGCACTGTTATATAACAGTGCACTATTGCATTATCCTTAAGCAAAATCAAGGATCTGCAACTTTCCTTCATAAGTAGAATATGGATATGCATTAAAGTCATTCAGCTGACGGGAATGTGTGTATATTGACAGGGAAAATGCCTAATTGGAATTTGCTTAGCAAAAATAATAGCTTCCAATTGTTGGACTTGCATGTTACTAATTTTTAGTAATATCAGTTTAGGATACAAATGGGAAAGGAAATGGGCAAGAGATATGATTTTCCAGGAAAATGGTGAACTGTCAGGACACACAGCTGTCACTCCAAAAAGTGTTGCCTGGTGATTCAGCCACTCTCCTTTTCTTTGAAAGTAAAAGCCTGAGAACCAAGAATCTGTGCTACTTTTGCAAAAAGGCTGATCTCACCAAAACAGAAGAGACCTGAGGATATATAGAACAACTGGGAGTATATTCACCTGCCTCTTATCAAACTTAATAACATGATTCAGAGTCCCTCCCTCTATACTGTTTATAGACAGAGATATATGGATATGTGTGTACAAGTCTATAAAATGAATTCCACAGATTCTAATACTAGTGTTTTGGCTTTCAGCTCCTTTCACCTGACTAGAGATTGCAAAGAAAACACTAAAGGAGCAAATAACTGAACAGGCAAAAAAAAAAGCACAAAAGAACAAAAGCAATTGTCTTCCTGACCAAGAATTCTCTTGCAAGAATGAGGCCCAGATGTAAAACTGCGAGCAAAGCACGGCCACCTTTTGCGAACAAGGATCCATTTAAAGAAACAAAACAAAAGCGAAAGGCTGAATATCCGAAGGCGATTAAGGGAGGATTAAAAGAATTTCTCCTGGAAAAAATATAAGAACAAGCTCAGCCCCATCAATCCATTCCCAAAAGAGAAAGACGCTTCACGACCTGCCCGCCTCTGCAGGCCAAAGGCCACGCTTATTGTAATTTGGGAAAGAAATCCCTGAAGTCAAATTATGGGCTGCTTCTAAGAAGCCGAAGTGTCAACGGGAAGGAAAGTTCCCATGGAAAGGAAGGGTTCGCATCCAGAGGACAATAGGGCAGCAGGTGGAACCAGCCGATGCTAAAAGGTCAGTCTCTAATGCCACCAGTCTGGCATTGCAATTTGCAAAACCACCAGACATCGTTGCAAAAAGAAAAAAAATAGGGAGGATCTGCTATTCTATCTCGTATTCTATTCTATATGATTTATTTTGGCAGAGGAAAGCGGGACGGAGCAGCAAAGGGGACTTTGGAAGAAGCAGCAGCAGCAGCCGCGGTTTCAAAGGACCCTCCCGGTAATTGGGGTGGGGTCAACAGAAATCCCCATCATCATCTACTATGGGCAGGAGGGGATCTCGCCTCTCTTCGAGTCCGCGGTTCTCCTCCTCCTCCCCAATTTGGCAATGCCATCATCATCATCGCCACCCACCCCCGCCTCTTTCCTCCCCCTCCCCTCTGCCCCGAAGGTGCCCATCTTGCTGGGGGTGGGAAACACAGGAGGGGCGGTGGGTTATCTGCGGCCCGGGAGGAGGAGGATGGCGAGCGGCTTGGCTTCCGCGACGGGAGGGGAATGGAAGAGGAAGAGAAGCGCCCTTTCCCTCCCCCGGGAGCTTCCAGAAGGTGTCGCCTTAAACGGCGGACAGAAGCACCGGCAGGCCCAGGCCTGGCCCCGGCCGGTACCTTCTTGTAGTTCTTGCCCAGCCAGACCCGCGTGCTGTCGAACTGACTAACGGTGTCCGAGGCCTCGTAGTACTTGACGTTGGGGCCGCCGTCCTTCTTCCGCACCGCCATTTTCCCAGCGCCGCCGGCCTGGGCCGCGCCGCTCTCTTCCCCCTACCCGCCGCCACCACGGCCGACAGCGCTTCGCTGCGCCCTCTGCCGGCCGGCCGCGACAGCGCTCTGCCCTGCCGAACCCCCGGAAGCAGCGGCCCCTGCCGGCCAAAAAAAGGAGAAAGCCAGGCCGCTTGAGGGTTAGGCCGGCTTGGCTCGCCTCCTACTGGCAGAAGGTGGTCTTGACACGCAGCGGAAGGCGGGAAATGCCTTTGCTGAAAAAACAGCCTTCCTTTCCAGCCCGTCGCTAATTTAATAAAAGGAACGTGTTTCTTCTGTGTGCTTTTAATTCTAGGGCTGTGTGTGTGTGTGTAGGTAGGAGGGCTAAATCACGACCATTTCCTTAAATTTAGACTTTAATCGGCGCCACCTACTTTTGTATCAGGCTGCATCAATAGAAGGATAGAATCAAGATCATGTGAAGAGCTAATACCACTTTATAAGGCCTTGGTAAGGCCACACTTGGAATACGGCATTCAGTTTTGGTCGCCACGATGTAGAAAAGATGTGGAGACTCTAGAAAGAGTGCAGAGAAGAGCAACAAAGATGATTAGGGGACTGGAGACTAAAACATGAAGAACGCTTGCAGGAACTGGGTATGTCTAGTTGAATGAAAAGAAGGACTAGGAGAGACATGACAGCAGTGTTCCCATATCTCAGGGGTTGCCACAAAGAGGGAGTCAAGCTATTCTCTAAGGCACCTGAGGGTAGAACAAGAAGCAATGGGTGGAAATTAATCAAGGACAGAAGCAACTTAGAACTGCGGAGAAATTTCCTGACAGTGAGAACAATTAATCAGTGGAACAATTTGCCTCCAGAAGTCATGAATGCCCCAACAGTGGAAGTCTTTAAGACGATATCCATTTGTCTGAATTGATTTCCTGCCTAGGCAGGGGGTTGGACTAGAAGACCTCCAAGGGTCCCTTCCAACTGTGTTATTCTATTACCTTGTATCCTTGCTTTCTTCCGATACTCCCCTTTAGAGCAGAAGAAAGAACAGGCAACTGCCGTGCTTAGCTGAGGCGACCGCGTTTGGAAGGCGAATTTCTGCTCCCACCTCAAGAAAGAAATGCAGTATTGATTTAGAAAACGATTGTGTGACAACTGACCAGAAGGAACATGATAATCCCAAGTAAGGTATTTTAAAAGAAGAAGAGCTGGAAATCGCTTGTGGAGTGATAATCCCAAGAAAACTTTGGCTGCGATTCCAAAATGTCTCCTTGGGTGCGATGCAATCAAGTTGTGTCAAAATGCTCATGGTCAAGTTGCTTTCGTGAGACTTGGCACCCAGATCCGTTTGTTTTCACGAGCTTTCCCTGCCTTTTCAGCAGGCAGAGCTGCCGAGAGGATTATTAAGTGCTGGAACAAGACTAATATGGGGCCCCTCACCTACACATGGACACATAAATCAATAGTCATAATTGTACATTTATTAATTACATTCAAACATACTTGCAAATATATTAAAAAAGTGGACAAGTACTTCTGTAAAAGATAATAAGAAACGATAATAGCCATTAGTACATAAACAATAATGAAACAATATACATAAGTAACGAAGTTAATACTAGATTGATTACAAACTCCTAACAGTTATCATAGTTGAGATGTAATGGCATTTGTATTCTTCTAAACAAAAGGTTATTTCCTAGCCTTTTTCCTGGCAAAATTGCGAATCACGTCACCAAAATCTATCGTTTTTTTGCAAAATCAGGCTCAATACTGAGTCTTGCCAAATCTACCAGTCGCCCCTGTGACATAGTCGATCTTAACATAATTTTTTATTAGCTTTAGTTTGCTGATTTTCCCCTTTGAGCTCCATGCCCCCCCCCCACTTCTCAGGCCTGCCTGCGGGCAGGGTTTTGTGTAGAAAACGTCACATCCCCCCCCCCAAAAAAAGTGGGCACCAAACACGAAACACGTCCTCCTTTATCGCTTTATCTGCATCTCTTCTGGCTCAACTGCAAGAAGCCGTTGTCAGTTGTCAGTTCGTTTCTTTTAGATATACCGTACCACGATTAGAAAGGCACTCTGTACATGCGCAGGAGCTCTTCTTGACTACTAATTGCACGCTACTAATTGCACGCTTCCTAGACATGGATCAATGGGGGGGGGGGCGGATCTCAAGTCTTCTGCAAACAGGAGATCAGAGCAGGTTAGCTTGAGGAAAGGGAGAATAAGACGGCGGGGGAAAAGTTAAAAGAGGGACTAATCGGGAACAGGGGAGTGAAGTTCAAAAATGGAGTCCGTATTGCGACTACGCCAAACAGGCAGAGGAGCCATGCAGGCGAGAAGGAGATGAGCGAGAAAAGGGGGGGGGGGAAGCATCGGTGCTTTCTTTTGGCTGAGCGCTGAGTGGGCTGGCGGGAAAGCTTTTCGCCTTCCCACCTTTCCCCTCCCGAAAAAAAGGTTTCTACCGCGGCGTCCTCTTCTTTCTTCCCCGCTTTCTGAAAAAGGAAAGAAAAAAACCCCCAAAACAATCCAGCCTCTCGATGGATCTGTCTAGCTGAAGCTACAAGCAGCCCTGGCCCGAGAGTCACGGTGGCCGAGTGGTTAAGGCGTTGGACTCGAAATCCAATGGGGTTTCCCCGCACAGGTTCGAATCCTGTTCGTGACGACGATCTCGTTTTGATGGCCCGCGATCCCAAACAGCTTTTGACAATCTCCGGAGGGGGGGGGAGAGAGAGACCGGTTGGAAAGCAATTGTGGGGGAGATGCGTGCTGGAACGAGAGAGAACAAGTCGGTCCGGCCTTCGAGAGTCAGTCCGTGTGAAAGGACCTCTATTTGGGGTGTGTGTGCGTGTGTGTGCTGTGTTCCGGTTGAAGAAACAAAGGACATGCGCTGACGGAGCTCGCTAGCTGGTGGATCAGGCGCTTCGTAGACCAGGATCGTGTCGGTTCAGGCAGGGCGTGGACGGAAAGCGTCTACTACGCCTCTCATTTTCATTCTTAACTCGGGAAGCCAGCTCGCTTAAGGGTGGCCTTTATCCTTCCTAGACGGCTAAGCTTGGTTTTTGTAGTAGCTACAATTGCAGAAGGAAAAAGAAAACAGCAGGGAAGAGATTTCAGCAAACAACTTTGCCATGGCATGCTTAAGAGTCTGGGCGTGATATGCCCATCTAGAGATCAGGAGTTGAGCTCGTTGTTGACGCCTTTCCCTTTGTAGAAAATTCTCCTCCGTATTTTGTAAAAAAAAAAAAAAGGTAAAGCATCGACATCTCCTAATACACAGTGTAGGTTTTTTTAAGGAATTGGCAACAGGATTTCAATGGACTGTAAGCACCCCTTTTGATGCTATTTTCACAGATCTGGACAATTCTGGGTGGCTTACAAAGGATTAATAGTATCAAAATACAATATATGGCACGCACGCACAAACCATACTGGGGCAAATTAACTCCATGTGTACACCCAGTTTGATGAATTCATGTACCTTAGCCCAGTGATGGCGAACTTACGGCACGCATGCCACAAGTGGCACACAAAGCCATCTCGTGGCACGTGAGCCATCGCCTGTTGCTCTTCCAGTTCTGCACCGGCCAGCTGGTCTTTAAGCACATGGGAGTGCTGGAAACCAGAAGAGCAGCTGCCCAGTGCGCATGCGCGTGCTGGGAAGATGATCTTACGGTTTCCGGAAAACGTGCACCAGCCAGCTGGTCTTCACACATGCATGGGGGGGGGGGAGAAACTGGAATACCATGTGGTTGGTGCACATGCGTGTGCCGGAAACTGGAAGATCATCTTCCCGGCGCGTGCATGTGTACCATGTGGCTGCTTTTCCGGTTTCCGGCACGTGCACTCGTGCGTGCTCCCGTTTCGGCACTCCAGCCCGAAAAGGTTTGCCAACACTGCCTTAGCCATAATATCCTGAGAGAAGAGCCGTATCTTAAAAGGCCCTCTTAATGCCCTCCAGGTTGTATAGGGAGAGAGGTGGCTTCCAGCCAAAAGTAACAAGTTACATTGTGGTAAGAGTAACCCCGTGGTAAGACGGGTAGTGGTGGAATAAATGTAATAAATAAAATGAATAAAAAATCCGAGAAGGCATGCCTCATGAGTCTCCTGTGGGAGGATGTTTTATTGAGGAATGGCCAGTTTGATTCTGTGGGACAGGCAAAGATAGTAGGAGACAGGTTGCCCTGCAAGTCTCCGGGCTCTTGTCACTAAATTATATCTTCCAATGTGATAGAAGGAGGGAGGTTATTACCTCTTGAATTTTATTTGAATTAGCTGCCCAACTCCAAGTCCAGAATATTGAAGTGGGTGAATATCGGGTCAGGGAACTCAGGTATACCGTGTTCATTTTGCATCAGTTGAACCTTGCTGGGTTCCACCCGAAATACCATCGCCAGAAGATCCCTGCTGACTATTGAGAACCATCTTGGAACAGTGCCTCAGGATGGACAGCTTGAGGCTTATTCTGTGCTGAGAATATAAAGGAATTTCCTGCCTGCCCTCTGCTCAGGAGAGAAGCTGAAGAGCAGCCATTTGGAATTAAAAAACTGCAATCCTCCGAAACTGGTTGAAGCCAAGAGTGGTGGCTTTGGGGAAAAGCTGCCTCAATGGAGAATGGGTTAATTTTTACTCCCTTGTATACTCTGGGTACAGCCTGCCTCGTTCGCAGTGTGTACACCAGGCCAAGCCTGACCCTAGGAAAAGTATTTCTTGTTTGGCTCTCTAGGAACAGAAGGCAAATTTATTTCCCCAATTCCTGGATTGTTTTCCTGCCTTGGAAAATGAAATGCTGTTTGCCAGTCGCATTGGGCAAAGCTATTATTATACAGTACAGGCAGCTCAAGAGAGAAGATAAATTGAAGCTTTTATTGGGGGGGGGGGTTGCCTGTGAATTGGGTACAGATCTTGGTCTTTGGACATATATGATAGCAATATCTGGGACGTTTTTTTCTCTGCAAGATTTCAGAAGTGGTTTGCCCTTGCCTCCTTCCTAGAGTTGAGAGACCTAAAGTCACTCAGCTGGTTCATACCAAATGTGAGACTAGAACTCCTTGTTTCCCATTTTCTAGCCT